CAAGTTGCTGCCGCTTCGTCGAGGCATGTAGCATGTCTTAGGTCTACCGAGCGACGGCAACCCACCGTGGGACTGTTGGAAACATCCGTTCCACACAACCAATGGCACAACACACAGGTCGATGTGCTGCCTCAGCGATGTCGTAATCTTCTGTTGGAGCGAGAAAACTTTTCAGCTTGTGGGAGGGCTAACATCCCACGCTGGCAACTACAACTACGTTCCTCACAGCAGATGTGAGACCGACTGCAACTGTGAACGAAAAGCTCGGTTGTTGAAGTTCTTGCATATGTGCCAAAGCAGAACCTTCACGGGGCACACATCAAAAAACATGGCCACATGCTGTTCATCACGCAGCAGCTGCCGATCACCGGCGACGTAGGGGCTCGCCTCCCGCAGCAAACACTAACTCGTCCTCGAAACCATAGCCGTTCACGACTCACAAGCACCTTTTTGCGATTGATGAGGAATAATCGAAACATCATGACGCCGGACCAGAAACAGCTACTACCGGTTTGAAGACCATGTGCAAGTTCCTGCTCTGTACCATCCTATCATCATATCGAAACCTACGCCGTACGACTGGTACCGAAGCTTGAGCAGGAATAAACACGACACGCAAAAATAGACATAAGGCTTGGTCAACCACAGACTAACAAGCTGCAAGCAGCTGTCGAGAGAACAAACATGCCGTGTCCTGCTACACAGGGAGACGACAAACCGCTTGTCAAGTGATCCCATTTTGCTCCATTCACGCTCGCAAGCCGCAGTGACTTCGTCGCTGTGTATCGGGACAGAAGGCCACGCTGCAATTCTCAACGGATGTGTCTTCGAAACCATTTCCTCGATATTGCTACCGCTTCGTCGACCTTTTTATGCATTGCCTGGCAACAGTGGGAGCATCCCATCACGAATTCCAGGCAGGACGACACTCGCGGATGCAGCTAGGACGTTTGCATGGCCGCGCTGCATCTGCAATGATTGAATCAGTAGTCTTCTGCTGGCGTTTTCCTTCGTCCGAGACTCCGAGACCATATGCCAACAGATCATGTTCCGTGAAGTTGGCAGCGGCGAACAAGGCAGAGACAGCTAATAGTGGAACTTATTGTTTGTCCGTTCATTGCACAACACCAGGGCAACCTCTTCGTGGCCTACGTCAGGAAAGGAAGCCGCGAAGATCTACGGCAGCCCCTCTTGCAATAAGTATCCACTGCACAGGAGGGAACCCCCCTGCGACTCCATGCGCCTTCGCTCGCGATGAAGAGACTTCTGCAGGTTCTTCAGTCTTCTGCATGATACCCGAGGAGGCCACGGTTGAACGGTGCGGCCGTCCAGATGCTAAGACCACGGGACGACAATAACAGAGCCGTACATGGTGTTTCCAACACAGCGACAAAACCCGGAGCCTTCGGAAAGTCGGAAAGTGGCATGGACCCTGACCTATCCCGAATTGAGTGAAACACCCCGAAATCCTTCGCAAGCCCTAAGCCTAATGTGGAATAGCAGCACAGTCACCACACCGACTGTTGCGAGCGAGAGGACCAGCGATGCCTGGGCTCCAACGTCAGGAATGTCACAAGCGCTTCCGAGCATAGTCAGTCCGAACAGATTCGGGGTTGAGGGATTTTGCCGTAGAATCGGGATTCTATCAGCACATGAACGCCTTGAACGCAGGCACCCGACCAGTCCAGACACCCGAACAAGCACCAACTTCTCACCTCAGCTTCAGCCCAGCCTGGCGGAACCCGCCGAAGCCCCGGAAAATCTGATGCAGGGACAGCGGGCAAAGTAGTAGGTGGATTTGTGAAAACGGAAGGTGTCCAGGTAGCTGCGGGTATCCTCCAGGGGACCAGTGGAGGCTTCGAGGCAGTGCAGTGGGGGTAGTTGGGGGACATTGTGTCCATGAAAGAATCCCAAACCATCCCAGTTTCCTGGCATGGCGTACCCTGCTGATAACATCCACAGCATGACGGCCTCATCCGGGAGCAGCGGTGTGAAGAACGGCATGAGGCGCACAAGCTCCGAACTCGGGTCGCAAAGCCTGCACGAAGGGGCTTTTGCAACTCACAGCTGCTGCGTCTCTCTGCCCGGAGAAGATTTCTAAAAAGCCACTCGGAGATCTGCAAGCCTCAAGACGATTCGGCTCCAACTTCAGAGTCGAGACTCGAACACAGGCACCGCTACCGCCAGGACGGCCTCGAGACACACGTTACAAACTGCCAAGGCCTCAGAAAATAGGCTTTGCCCGCGAGACACAGGGTTTCGGAAGCGAGTACATTTCGACATGCTGCAGGATGTGCCACATCTCTGACCACCCTGGCCTGGCCTGATCAGAAATGCCACCAGGCAAAGCAGAACCTGCAATCAAGGGAGAAATCTGAGCACAGAATCGGCGGCGCGTGCCGTTTTGAATCGAAACAGCCGAGGACACTTGCGAAAAGCTGACCACTGAAAAGCTGACCACGGTGACCAAACACCCAGTCCGAAGACCTGCACCAGAATTGCCCCGAGGAAGAACTGGCCGACCTTGGCGCATCGTGTGCAGTCTCTAGGCATCCTCTGGTCCCAACGAAATCCCAGGATCAAAATCATTAAACCCCCAACGTCCTAAGTCACACGTTTCCGACGAGTCTGGCAGACTGTTGAACCCGGCAATGACTTGAAATCACCATCAAAATCCCGCAAAACCCAGGTGGCTTCTGCTGTCAAAAACTTCAAGCCCAAACCCGCTAAACCTGAAATAAAGGTCTGGATGCCGCTCTTCGCAGGATAGCACGGCGCCGCTCGCGGATGTGCCTCGGACAGCACGCAACCAGACCTAGCGCAGTACTGCTGCCACTGCCCTGCTTCGTCCACCTTGCATGGGAACAAACGCAAGTCAGAGGAGTTAGGCGCTTGAGACTCCAGGCGTGAGTCAGCCGTTGTTTCTATCATCAACACTAGGATTGTGATTGCTATGCTTCTACTACCACTGGTACCATCAAGACTGCAGACTGCACAGACCATTCCTAGCACGGAGGCCACTGCTATGAGACCACTGCTTCCAGCGCTGCTGTTGCTGCTACTGCAGCCTCTGCTGCTAACAGTCGCATATGTAAACGTAAGGCCAGGAGTTTGGCAACCAAAGCTTGAAACACACCTGAGTGAAATATGACAACGACAACCTTGCCCAAGAAATGCAACCAACAAAGCTAGTGCTCTCTTTGCGGTTTCGGGAACTGCTCCGTCTCGGTAGGTGCTCTCTTCAGCTCCATAAGATATGCCTCGGAGCTGAAAATGCCCAGCACGGAGATGCAGGGACTGCAATTGCCGAGGACAAATCCATTTCAACTCTGGATCCTACTGCAGACCAAGTCATGCCGCTGTGCCTGGCTGGACGAGATGCTCAACCGCGAAACACTATAATACAACATGACAAAATAATAATATACTATATATTATATTATACTATGGTATGATATACGATGATGATCATCGCTGCCAGCACAGGATGATGAGACCGTGAAAGCGCTCGCGAGAGACGGTGAATCAAACAGAGCAACTCAACGGTAGCCCCAGGTTTCAGAGGTAGGTGTTTTTCGTATATCCACGTTTGAAGATCTTAGCTGCAGCTGTGTCGCGAACTGGCAGGTGGGGCAGTGTGTGAAGCCTTGGCTGCGATGAAGGTTGTGCTACCAGTCATCGGAGACGCAAAGAGGGCATACCAGCAGATACAACTGCCTTTTCGACTGAAGGGCCATTGGCTCAATGCAACCAGCACAGACCATTCCAAGCAGCTTCTGACGCCACGGCCTTCGGACCGCCACTTGTCCAGACAGCGGCGATGTACCCATCTGGAGTGGCCTCTGCAGAGACTGGCATCACTCACGCTGTCATCACAATCCGTAACTTAAGCAGACCTTCTCATCGAGGGCGCTGAGCACTACAGCTGTCTGGTGTGGTGACAGCAGAATGTGCCTGTGTGAACGCTGCATGCTCTGGCCTTTGCACGTGCAGGGCGCGATCAAGTCATCGCCACCTCGGAACATTGCAGGGCAGATTTCTGCTATCTGAATTCCTGCATATCTGTCTGTGAGTCTTCGTAATGTCGGCCGCGACTCGGGTTTTCATGCAAGCTTCGATGCTGTTTAAGTTGGGGTTGCTCTGCCTCCTGTGCCTGCTGAAACTTCGTTTCGACTCCTCCAGTAGCACTCTGCTCCGGCCCAGCCGCCCGTCTCCAGGCAGAACCGGCACTGCGCCTTCGGGCCAAGGAGTTCTCACAAGTTTGCGGACGACGCGATCAATCCCAAGGCAATGAGCTTCAAATTGGACAACTCAAGTTTGAGGGGCGAGGCAACGGTGCCAGCTGATGCTGAAGGGAGCCAGGTTCTCTTGGGCAAGCTGTACGCTAGGGGCTGTCAAGAAAAAGGCACTGCGTGGGCCTAGGCTTCGGGGTGCTCAAGCCGCTCAAGCCTCGTGGCAAAGACTTCTGCTCCTCTCGCTCCGGCCTTGTCGCGGCTGGGCTCCTGGTCGCCGGTGTCCTGTGGGCGGCGAGTCTTGGTGGACGTCGCAGGGTGCATCGCATTTTTTGTCATGTCGTGCAAAAACGCAACCCCAACACGATGAGGGCAAGAAGCGCGACCAATAACCAGTCTCCTGGGGTGGTGCGACCAGCACCTCTCGAGCATTGCCGTCTGCGGCGAGCCTCAAAAGCTGATCACAGTGCCGACTGTCTTGCAGTCGAGTCTTGCAGGCTCTAAGCGGAACTGAGGCAGCGGCATGGTCGAGTCGCCGTCTAGATGCACCCTCAGAGAGGCTTTCCTCTTGCCGCTTGGGTCTCGAACGTCTTGGGACCCCAAATGGCGACGGTTCGCAGTGCTGAGATGAATCTGAAGGGGCTAGTGAGATTGTTCTTTCTCCAACTGAACGGAAGAGCCTTAACTTCTCCTTCCGATCCTGCGGCAGCCTTCAACATCCTGATTTTACCCAAGCCTTCCAACACACACCTCAGATGCACATGTGGCCTTGGCGCAGGGCCTGCGCGACGAGAGCCTCCCCAACCGCCTTGGGAAAGTTTTGCCCAAAGATCTGTGGAGGTGTAAGAGAGCACAACCAAGGCTGTGACACCCAGGATAATGCGAGGAAGTTGCACGCACCACAGTTGTGAAGCTCAAGCATGACGTCAAACTCCAAGCTTGTCGCGTGACTCTATATCTCGATATTGAGGCCTAAAGCGCTGAAGTGAACAACGAGAGTCCCAGCCCCCAACTCCATCTCTGTGGACAGGGCCTTGGATGCTGCATAGCCATGCCTCGCGTCTTTGAGGACCTCCCAAGCCCGAGATCTTTCGCCAAGGTTCGGGCACGAACCCCTGAACCAGCATGAATGGCAAAGGCTTCCCTTCGCGCCTCCTCCACCGGCTCCACGGCGCAGGCATCCGCCTAGGTCTTTGAAGCGCAGTCGCAGTCTAAGCGCATTGCAAGAGACAGGGGACCCTCGGAGCTTCCTTTACTAGGCCTAATCGAGACAGAGGGAGAGGGGAGCCACTCGAGCATTCGAGTGTAAGGACGACGGGCTTCCACGTGCAGACGCAGGGACGGCAGGCACGGGATGGCACGGGCCTGAAGCAAAGCATTCCAGACAAGATCGACGCGGGACCCCGGCCTGGGCCTTGTCCTTGTAAACATCCGTCGTGGAAACGAAGATGACTCTGGCGCCAACCTGTCGAAGCTTGGATCCAACAGCCCGTCTGAAGTCTCACTTCAAGGCGCAAGGGTTCAACCGGACCCCCCAAGTCGGAAGTTGCCACCTGGAAGCATCTTGGCGATCCTCTCTGACTACGGTGAACACAAAGGAGTTTCTTGTTTGGGGCCTCTAAACAGCACGCTTCACAAGTCAAGCCAACCCGGCCGTCGCCGCATAGCTCAGCACGTTGAAGGTACCAAGCACCTGAGAGGGATTCCAACCATGAGAGTTTGCCGCAACCAGCCACGAGCGCGCCCACAAACGTCGAACTTCCTGCCCCCTTGCCCGGCCCTGCCCCTTTCCTGAAGATCTGCAGCGACCCTGAACTGCAGCCAGCGGCATTTGCAGCTCTGTGGGCCGCATAAGGTGCCTTCAGATCTACCTGCAGAACATCATGTGGCGCCTTTGTCAACTTAATGAAGAACTGTGTCGGAATTGGAAGCTCGGCTAACACGTCAGAAAAAAGGCATCGACTGTTTCACATTAGTAAACAGCACTCGGCCCAATCCAAAAGGAGACTCGCGGCCCTTCTTTCGACATGCTCGATGAACAAATCCCTCATACCGGCCTTCGCAGCTGCATGGATGACATCTTTGACCGACAGGCTCAGGTGCAAGGGCCTGGGAACGATTACTTTCTCAACCTTCACAGGTTGGAGAAGCTTGTTTCAGATCGTCGGCCGTAGGACACACCACAGGGTGTTTCAATCAAGCCAGCGCTTGGACCCGAAACTCGAAAGTCGGTTGGGCGATGAAAGCGTGAGGGCGATGTGCGCCGTGAAGTAGGGAGGTGCCCTCCGCCGTAAGTCCGCCAGGTTGCTTGGTCAGAGATGCCGTCGACACCACGAGCTGCGGCCACCTCGGAGAAAGATTGCCCTCAAGACCTGTCGGACTGCTGGACTGCTGACGTTGCGCCGGCTGAGCCCTTACCACCTTGTGACTGAACACTCCAACCTTCACGCTGAAGTATGAGCCCGAAGCAGGGGTGCCGGCCATTCTGGCCGGTAGCGACCGCACTGCGTCAGTGCTTGGGCCAGTCGCTGCCGCCCTTGCTGCTCCTGAGCACTCCAAGCAGAAGCGACAAACTTCTTCTTCCAAGACAACGCTTGCTTGTAAAGAATCAACTTGTGTCGTGCCCAAGTACTTCAAGGGCAGGCTCGTCTACAAACATGCGCGACACGAATCTTAAGGTCATCCTGTCTCTACAGAATCCTACTCGCAGCACGAGCACATCTCTTAGTCCTTGTCAGGCTGAAACTCCCCCTTCCTCAAACAGCTAAGGAAGCGGTAAAGACACACTGGGGTTTCAGCAAGCCTGTTTGTCCATTTGTCGACAGCCTTTGCCTGATCAACCATCATGTGCCCAGGCGTGAAGTGTGAAGACATACAGCATCGTACGACATTGAACCCCCCGAGCCCTTTTCCACTTCGACTTGGACACAAGACCCGCCCTGCGCAGCGCGCCAGCAACCCTGAACCCTGGATAACCCTGGGTTTCCCTCCGGAGAACCGAGACGCCGAAGCCGCGCGCACGAGGCAAAGCACCGGTCTCCTGATGCTTCCATGGCCCAGGCAGTGATTCGGTGCAATCAATCGCGTTGCTCACGTGAGGGCGGTGGGTCTGTGGGGTGCTCTGTGCTCTGGAGCCTCCTTTCCAAGAGCTCCGCCAGGATGTAGCGCCCGACCATGCCGGTGCCACCTGGCAACTGGCGATCCATATCCCGGGCTCTCGTGCAAGGAGCCTTGGGAGCCTTGTCCATGGGGGACCTAATGGGTGTTCCGTGTTCCTCTCGTGACTCCAACAGCAGTGCATAGCATCGTCCAGCGAACCCCATCGCGGCAAGAACTTCCGAAACCTTACCCTGCAGAAAAGGAGGCTGCCTGTGAGCAGCGTGTACTCCAAGCCTTCTTGACGCTTTCGCGCCTGGGCGGGACCCGCAGGATGAGAATCCCAAAGCCGGAAGTTGCAGAGCATGTGACTCCAAATCCACGCAAATTCGCTTGTTCAAGACAGGCCCGTCAAGTAAGGTCTTGCGTTTGAAGCATATGCTCAACTCGCTGTCAACGACGGTCTCTACGAAGGTCTGGCCATGCCTGCGGCTTCGGAAGTTCGAGCTTTGAATCCGCCACGGCATCCACCTGGATCGTGCGAAGGTGTCTGAAACCCAACTCGCTGAACTACTTGATGCTCAGGGATGCACTGATGAAGATCCAGGCTTCGTGTGATAGAGCAGTTTTCCTAAGCCAATGAGCATTCGACCTTAGCGAACTCAACTTCAGGCAGCTAAGCTTGGCTTCAACAACCTTGCCTTAGTCTTGGCTTTGGCTTCAGGTGTATGTGAGTGCTGGTGTTGCTTGACTGTAACTGTCTGGCTTTCGCGCCTCTGAAGCATTGCGGGTTGGGGCCGGGCCGCCGGCCTCCTCCAACTGCGACCGGACGTGGTCAAGCGGCGCGTCCGAGAGTAGCCTCTGGGACTCTGGGAGCTCCGCAGCGTGGCTGAGGGTGCTGGCAGAAGTTATGAAATTCATGATCTGCTCTTGTGCTACTCATGGGCGCCGGGGCGGGCTATGTTACGAGGGGGTGATGAGAACCTCCAGGACACTTTAGGCTTGGGGGGGGGCACCGTTTTGTCTCTGTGCGTCCCTACGTGCTTGTGCCACTGTCCTCGGGACCGCAACTCCCGTTTTCAATCCGGAAGCTTCCTCGTGCTGCTACTCGCAAATACACGCACAAACATAGTTTCAAACATCCACGTTGCTCGACAATGCAACTCCAGCACTTCTGTGGATACTTAGAAGTGAAGCTTCAAATCTTCCCTGCTTCTCGTGTCATATGAACCCAGTCCCCTTCCTAATGGCAGACTCCTGAAAAGCCCCGTGGCTCTAGGACTCTGTACGGAGCCTAGGAGCAGCTGAACTGCCCGGGTCATCGGGACGCCCAACTCCAGGTAGAGCCGTGCCTGGGATGCAACAGCCCAAACAGGGGATCACCATGACAGCGGTGACGATGTATGAGACTTTCTGTCTCTCAGAACTGGCCCTGGCAAATGTGCAGGGATGGCACGGTCTGCTTTATGCCGAACTGAAAGCCTGTAACCAGACGCCCTGCCTTCCTATTTTGATTGATGCACACGGTGTTCGTACTCTTCTATCTGAACCAGCTTGGTATCTGGAGTCTGGGGTCTCAACTCGAGCTTGAGACTTGGGGGTGCGACGAATCGAGCTGCATGTGATCGTGTCGGAGGAGATGGGGGAGGCTGGTGTTGTTGATGCTTTTGATGTTGTAAGTCTGAGCCGGTCATAGGGAGCATCATTGGGGGCCCACACGGAAACCCTAGGTTTAGTGATTTGGCGACAGAGATTCTGAAAGTTCGTGTTACCCGGTGCTCGCACGGATGAAACTCGGTGTAGCTATCCTTTCCCACTGCATCGAACAACATCTACTAGGCGAACTTGAACATCTCACGGCCAGAAGACCCATCTGGGACCAATCTAGGAGAAAGTCCCGTCAGTCTTTCTGCTAGCGGGGGCAATGGTGTTAGCAGTGCAGGGGGGGGGCTTGAAAATCACAGGTGTTCAGGCAGCTTTCCAAGCAACACCACCAACTTTGCCGAGGATCAATTCGTGCCGCCTGCAGGGAAGTTCCGCCCTGCCTGGACAAAGACTCTTCAGCTCTCTACTGAGGATTTGAGGCAGAGGATGTCCCCGACTGTGCCGTGGTAGGGAGAAGCAGCATCCCGATGTGCAGAATGTCGGCTCTGCTAACTTCGGCTGTGAGGTCTCAATGTCTTTCATAACGTATTTCCCCGGCCTAGACAGCCTCAACCACCTACTCAAAAACAACTTCCATCCGGAACGCGTCTTGAAGCTCTTGGCCGCGTCCATCTCGCCCAGTGAGGCTCGCGCGGCAGTAGCGGCACTCCTGCGCGTTGGCTCGGACGTGATGTGGTCCGTGGTTGTAACATGGACTTTTGAGGGTCCTTCACCAGTCATGTCCGACACACTTCCCCTTAGTCCCCATGGCTACGCTGCTACGTTGCTCAGTTGACGAATCCGCCCGCAGAGTTCGGCCATTTTCTGCCCTACAAACAAGACCCTGGCCTGTTGAACCGGCTGCTTGCCGCAGACGTAGTCTTGTCAACAAGTCTTCACTGAACCGTTCAACAGGCAGGGGCCTCTGCAGCTCTTCCTCGATTGCAGCTCCATATATTGACAGAAGGCACTTTCTGTCCAGCTTCCCTGGTGCGACTCAAGCATAGCGACATAGCACATGAAGCAAAACACAGTCACTGTCAGCTGCTGGCGGCCCTTGCCCTGATCTTGTAAAGGAGCCTTTCATACCTTTATGTCATAAGAGATCAGGGATCCTATGCAAGGTCTCTTGCATGCGGCTACTTACGATCATTCCTCTACCATCCCCTCCGAGTCTAGCAGGCAAGAAGCGTGATTGCCCCTTGTTGTCTATGCCCAGCTTCGCTGCCATGCACACGACACATGCGTTAAACAAACAACCAAATGCTCTGCCGATGCCTGTCCCGTTCAGCGTTCCTGCTTCTTGCGAGAACGGCTCTTCGGCGAGAAGCACCTGCTCTAGAAATCGTGATGTCGTACTGAAAGCGTAAACTTCGAAGCACGGTTGCTGAAAGCCAAGCTACTTTGCAATCAAAAGGACGCAACAAGAAGGGGCACCGCGCACAGTGGTGCAGGGCGGCAGCTGCGCAGCTTTTGCAGCAGCTGCTGGGGGTCCTTGCATCAGGACCAATGCTGTCCGCAGGAGTACATCCACAGGATTGCGTGCGTGCGAGATATGTTCAGCGGTGAGGGACTCCGACTAACTGACTAATTAGCTGTTACGTTGAACCGACACCCCACAACCCTCCCGACCCCACGCCCACACAGCACAGCATCACACAGCCTCCGCTCGCAACCGCAAACACAATTTACCGCTTTTGCCGGCTTGCTAAATGTCATCTAGCGCTCAAGTCCAATACTGGAAGATCATGGCGTGCAGCATTCCTGAACTCCAAACACGAATTTAAGGTTGCTCCACAAAGACCCGTGGTGATTACAAGCTCAAGCTTCCGAAGTGACCGAGCGTCCAAGTTCTTCGACTCCGCGTCGACTACCTCTGTCGTCCAATGGACAGCGCCAAGCATGTGGGGAATGGCAGTGCGATATGCCAGAGCATTCTCCACCGTTCAGGAGACATGCGGGTGGGTACGAGCACATGGCAAAAGGACCGAATACACTACCCGCCAACCCTTGTCAACTCTGCCAAACATCCGTACCCCTCCTCGCAGGGTACATGCTGCGACAACGTTGCTCAGTGTTCCGTACATCCTCAACCCACGGAGTCTTCCTTCACTGTTCAGCTTTGTTCCGGGCCACAGCGACCAAAGAGTCGTGGTGAAGGTCGCCGTGAACGAAGACGTGCCGGACATTCTCGGCGTCCAGCTCTGTCCTGCGTGGGGGGTCGCTGGAGGCATCCGCTTCGCTCCACTTCGCTCCGCTTCGCTCCCCTGCTTGGCCTGTAGGCGATCTCCAAGGACTCCGGGAAGACCCATTTGCCCGTCGCCAGCTTGATGGAGCTCTTTGCACGACCGATCACTTCGATCCTGAGCTCAGCAAGCTGTGCCGCTTCGTGCCGCTAGCTCCTCTGAAACAAAGGCTGAACCTTGCTGGAAACTCAGCTAAGCTGCTGATCACCCTCTACACGCACGAGGTCCCCGATCTTGTAGAAGCCATCCTGCATGCTAGCGTGGTTTTTCGCAAGGTTACCTTGTCAGGTGCGTCCGTGGAGGCAACAATATCTCAAGGAACGAATCCGCCGAGGAGTTGGGCCCCGAAGCTGCCATCCGACATCTGCTTCTGCACGCGGGCAGCACTGCTCTGCAAGCACCGAAGGCCTCCGTGAAGGCAGCTGCAGTTCGATCTGGCTCCTTCACAAAACACGGCGCTCTGGACCGAGGCATGATATTTGCCGACAACGAAAGAAGCCGTTCAGGCCGCGACTTGCATGATACTGCCCATGATGACTGCCATTTCCGTAGAGTGCTGCTGCTGCTGCTACTGCTACTACTACTCCGGTGCTCTTTGTCGACTTCTGGTGCTATTGCATTTTCTGCCAAGACTGCCTGGGCTCAGATTCTTCCCGCGTATTATCAACGGGGGTACTGTTGTGATTACGGCGGTGCATACATAATAGCGCGGTGCCCCTATCTACACCCGCTTCCTTCTCATATTCTCCACACTAGCCCATCCCTCAAGAGGACGGGGACCCGGACAAAGGACACGAAGATCCAGAGGACGAGGACGATGACCACGACCGATTTGAGCCATCGGATCTTCAGTCCTTGTAGTAGCATGAGAACATGTTGCTTCCTGTCCTTAGGCAGAGATCGGGATGTGGGCGAGCTCGGTAAGGACCCAAATGAAGCCCCCAGATTGACGTCTTGCGAGCCTGCAAATCCTGACGCCGTCTTTTCCGTTGCAAGTTCAACCGAAGCTCTTCACCACCAACTCGCCGCAGCCGGGCTCCATGTCCTCATACGGCAGCACCTCCCAAAGAGGCTGCTTCGGAGTCTGAGAAACTTGAGCTCGCATGCGAGCGCCTTGTACTCGATGTCCTTGCTAATCCTTCGATTGACCGCGATGTTCCCACATTCCGTGCCTGTCCATGCATTCAATGTGTGTTTGCTTCACGAGGTTTCACGCCCCCCCACAAGGCCCAACAAAAAAACGCGAATCCTCCGTACATCTCCAGGAACTCCACAGGGCCACTGTCTAACGCGCAGCTGCGAAACCTCCAGCGGTTTTGAGGAGGACTTCAAAGGTTCGACGAGATCGGGGAGTCTCTTGAGAAACGGTTGTACTTGCAGCTGCCGGGACTGTGGGAATTCGGGATCCCACACTCCCACAGAATGCGTGCACGACATGCGTACATCGAGAGACAAGACACAGAGACCGCGAGAGAGAGAGAGAGAGGAGAGACACAGAGAGAGAGAGAGAGAAAGGGAGGCGAGAGAGAGAGAGAGAGAGAGAGACAGAGGGCGATGGCAGTTGGAAAGCTTCAGATGTGCGAAGTCAAGGTCGATGCTAGACTCACGCACAGAGAACTCTCCTAAGTCAGTCACCAGTCTGCCACACCAGCATCCAGCGCGCCCGCGCCGCATATCCTCGAGCTCACTACTACCATGGATGCGCTCTCTCATGGAGGGTAGATTTTCGAGTTCTACAACTCCTGCAAGAGGGCAAATTGCCGTGAGCTCATCAAGTCTGTTCAACTCAGCAATCAGCTGCATTTATGCCTGTTTGCAGCCCTACACGGGCCCTCCAGAGGCTCCGCTCCCGAATTCAAAGCCTTCGGGCTTGCTACCAGAGTATATTGTACGCTTCGAAACCGAGTCGCAACACTCGGCAGCGCCCACCCAGCAAGTGGAGCGACCGATCCTAGCGGAATGAAAACGGGCATAGATCCCTGAGAAGCTCTTCAAAGCCTTCGTGCTCGGGACTTTGCAAACTTGAAACCACACCGGTCATGGCTTGGAAGCTACCATCATCACCAGGACCCGTACAGACCTGCACAAGATCCTGGAGACCAAGAAGCCGTCGTGGAGCTATAGGCTTTGAAGTCAGCCCTTCTGTGCTGAGAGGCCTGCACCAGCCGCGCCGCCCGTTGCACTCTCTCCCAGAAGGCGGGCACGCCCTTCAGAACCTTTCGGATTCTGTTGATCTGTTGTCTTGCCACCATAGTAGGCGCATCGACAGGATGGTCCACAGAATGTGGTCTCAACAGGTGAGCTTTGCTGACAAGCTGTGAACCCTGGACGGAGCCAAGCACTCGTGTACAACTTCGCTTTCGGGTGCAACTCCACTGATAATTGGCCTGAGGTGCAACGTCGAGTGGCCGTTGGCCGCAGAGCTTGGAGGTCACGAAAGATTTCCTTGGTTCGGAAATCCACCTGTCCGTCGAATCCCATAAACGGAACATCTAGAAAGGTTCACGGCCTTACCTGCGCAGACTTGTCCGACCGAGCCACATCGGTAGAACCCGGTGTTCGGATTCCCACACGTCCACCATTCCAGAGCGCTGTGTACACCTGCGCAAGATGCATCGCACGGGTGTGCAAGGCAAGGATGCAAAGCTCCATCAACCCACGGTACCATGCCATGCACATCTCAGCCAAGCAACTGTATGACGGTCCGTGATGTAGGCGAGCGGCATGTACGAGTAGCCTGTCGGGGAGGTCTAAGCCGTGCGATTGCAAAGAACCTGGCCTAACGAGCCCCTCCTGGCCAGCTCAGCATAGCAGAAACAACTCTGGCATTTGCGGTCTTTTGCGGTCCGGAAACCCACATTGAGGCCAGGATACCTCAGTTTGCCGATGCCGGCATATGACTTGAGAGCTCTCAATGCCCCTACCCAGCGGACACAACAGCCAACAGGCCATTTCAAAGCCTGCAAACCACTTTAACCCTAGTAATCGCCGATAGCTCCAACCCCCATCACTTCGCGAAAATCTGTTCTGCGGAAAATGAGCATAACCATGTTCTTCTGCCACAGGTCATCGCTGTAGACCACTCCTTGCTGTTTCGAGAAGGGACATCAGACTCGGTTTATGTGCTTGCACGTTCGTGTGTGGGTGAATAGATTTCTGAGCCGAGCAATATGAGAGGGTCAACCCTTTTGCTGGCGCTTGGGTGGCCAGGAGACCCTTGGGCAGACCGGTGGTTCCCGAGGTGTGGAGGATGGTGTGGACGTCTGAAGGTCCTGGAAGGCAAAAGTGTCCCAAACTGGAAACACATGCAGGCACAACACTATGTGCACCGGTCGTCCCTACGGGTCGTGTCTGCATCCTGTCCTCGGACCCTTATGGGCAGCTCCGGCTGGGCGACTGCCAAGGAGTCCATCCTACATCAAACAGAGGCTGCTTTCCACCTCCCAACACTCACAGGAGAAGAGCGCATCATGCAGACTCGAACCGAATTGGAATTTGCATGGAAATCCTGAAGCTGCGTGCGGCCGGGCATCGAAACGATGCGGCACGAGCCCTCCAAGCTCTCGCCTGGAGACGTCTTCACGAAAGACTGAAACAAGGAAGCTGTTCTCGCTCCAGTCGTCGCAGGCTGGACTGACAACTTTGCGCAGCAGACCATGCTCCATGCACGGCCGAGGCACTTGCATGTTCGCCACCATCCATGAGGATGATCCACCTCGTGGAAGTTGCGAAGCAAATTGTGGTGAACCAACACAGGGCCACTTGCAAGTTGATAATTGACACGTAATCACATCTGTGCAAGGTCCACGCCGGGTCAGGGCCGAGAAAGAACTTGGAACTCAGGTGGCAAGTACAGAACTCGAGAAAAGGATGATACCGCTAGCAAGTTTCAAGAGTTCGTCGGGCCTGGGTTTAGGAGTTGACCACTTGGCACTTCTGACATCTCTCTTGCCTGAGTGACGGCAGCGCCAGACATTTCGGAAGCTGCGATCCGTCGCAGAACACAGCAGAAAGCTCACACCTGCAGGCTTGAAACACTTCGCATCTCCGAGACGTCAAAAACATCAAACAAGAAATGTTGAAGCTGGAGTCACATCTTGGATCCCAGCACAAGCTTCTCACTGCAACCCACAGCCTCCTTTAAGTGGAAGGCTGCGGTAACCCTTCTCTGTCTCCAAGTCTCGTCTGTCCGAACCCTGCCTCTCCACTACTGGGCGAAGTTTTGCCAAATCCCAATCCTGGTCGGTGGGGGCGGTGTGCCGAAATCATAAGGATTCTCTCATGCGGCGGAATAGACAGAACCAAAAAAGCACAAGCGAGTTTTCGGAACTCCGACCACCTGCCTAGGTAACTCCAGAACACTGCTTGCCCACACTAAGACAGACAAGAATAAGGCACTTGGCTATGTGTTCTCGCATCTTATGTGCACCGCTCCAGGTATTCTTCTCAACCTGTTAGAAAGTGCGCGCCGGCACGAAGAGATCGATGATCTAGCGGAGTAGAATCGTCCCATCTGGCCCAGAGGCCCAGAGCCTCGCTCAGTGGAACTGAGCCGACGCCCGCGCAGACCGCTGCCAGGTCGGCCAGGAACCAGTTCTGAGTCTAGCGGCGCTCTCCAAGACTCTCGTCTAGACTCTAGAACACTTCAATTAAATCAGCCATGCCACGGCAAAGACGGCCATATGCCAGATGCTCCAGACCACATGCAATGCGAAGCAACTGCATGTCGTTCCTACCCAATCACATTGCAACAAGCACAAATTTAAATGGAGATAGAGACGATCCAATGCTGTGTATTTCGCTGTGTGTTGACGTGAACTTCTACCAAATACTGCATATAGTGCAGGCGGTTTTGCGCGACATAACGCCACTGCCACTCCAGATAACACCGTATCAGAGTCTACCACGAGGCACCGTGTAAAAATGTATAAAGTTTTAGGCGCAAGACACATTTACGGTGGTACATTCGTCCAAACAACACGCCTAGCTACTGTTCAGCACCAGAAACTCTATATAGTACTTCGGGTATGCTAAAATATCTAGGTTTGAGACAGAATGCTTCATCCCATGTACTTGAAAATAGACCCACATAACCATGAATCAAATTGAACGATGTATAACCAAACTGTACATCCATTTTCATGCAACTCTGTTGTGGTTACCTCACTCTGTACACTTGACTTGCCGTGCTGAACTACTGAGAAATATACTGTGCGAACATTGCTGGTGCGGTATGGGACTACACAATTCTGCATGCACCCACATTCTACAGCGGAACTCCAAGCAGCAGCCACACGTTCGGATTACACTGGCCTTGTTCCCTCATGCGCTCTCGGGCTTCTCGCTCCTATGCTGATGCCAATGACACACACACACACATAAAAAAAAATGCCGTCAAGGGTCGAGGCTGTTGACACCACAGATGCCTCGACAATCGGTCGCTAGCGACGCTTATGCGGAACATGGAAAGCAATGTGGCTTCGTGAGCTAACTCTTGCAAGAATCCCCGTTTCGTCAACTCCGCCGACAGCCTGCCGAAACGGGCTACCTCCGAATCACTACCGGTCAGGTTGCATCGGAGGTACCCACCAAAGACCCCGGTGGGAGCTTCGATTGAAGAGCACCGGAGATCTGGGCATTTCCGGACTCGTGGCTTCGGTGGGCGTGGAACTTCGAACGACTTGAATCCGGATTTCGGAGGGGCAGTGTTCAGTTCGTTGGCCGAGCTACTCCGCTGCATGAATTGTGCTACCTACTACCAGGCTCGCAGCACTTCTTTGAAGATGCCTCAACATACCCAGCGCCCCCCTGGCCTTTTTGGCTGCAGAATAGACTCTGCCGTAGGAAATCCTTGGAATGATGGCATATCCCCACGGGCGGACAGCAGAGACAAGGCATGGAGCTAATGAAATCTACCGCTATGGCAGCACTCTGGCAGAGGCCTACTTTGTCACAGGGAGTGGAACAACGAAACGCTCTAGAAACTGCCCGTGAGCGCAACACACGTGACTGCGGCCCAAAACACACCCTAATCAAGACGAAAGAGCCAGTGATATGCATCGCCAGTACGCTTGCCGAGACACGGCCTGCGAGTCTACATGGGACTATTGAGAACTGGCTATGCCTTGCATCCCGAGTTTGGGCTGATTGCTTTGAGGGCAAACGATGTAGATTCTGCAGCTCTGTTTAGAATATGCCGCCATGCCACACATGCAGTGTATATGCCGAGTCCCGATGCACACAAGGCGGAAGGAAGCCTTCCGTGAATCTGAATCGGAGCTGGCCTGTCGCTGAAGCTTTCGAATCGCGCAGCCAGACCCTGCACGGCCAAGTTCAAGCAGCTCCAGACATTAGACAACTTCGAACGAAACTATAGACCAGAGGTTCTCATCCTTTGGGCCACAGGTTTTCGAGAAGGGGGCCGTGAAAAGGAATGAAACAAGTGCGGTCTCCATCTTTCGTAGGTAGCGCAGCAAACTCTTGAGTCAGAAATGAGGGGCATGGAGAGTCTTGTACTTCTGATCCTCCACCCTCAAACGCCCGCGAAGTCCCAACATGGGCTGTGCCTCGGCTAAAGACCCGCGCAAGGGAAGTGTCGGCTGAATGCCTTGCGCCTGTCGTAGCTGCGGTTGCAGGCAGGCGGTGTCTGCCCAGCTTTAGTTACTACGCCAAAATCCTTGTCAACGACCAGCTTGCATTACATATCCCCGAACCACCAGCCACAGCCGTCACGGTGCATCTAGTTGTATGGGCTGTGGCGAGGCTTTGCGATGATGAAAGAAGGCGGCCTCATCCACTTCGAGCTGGGAACGTGGAAGGTCATCTACAAGGCATTCGCTGCCCATGCTTGAGCCAAGCCAAGGCTTCAACGGCGCTACAAGCTGAAAGCAGAACCCAGCGGTTTTATCTACCCGAACCTATACCCGTCTAGCAACGGCCACGATGTACTTGCATCAGAGCCCCATGCCAAAGTCACGCAGCGAGTTGACCGAATCCGACCTGCAGAATACGCACTGATTCCGAACTTGGATCTGGTCAACACTCGGGGTCATCCACATAATAATACGACAAACCACAAAAGAGAATCAAAGCACACACACACACACACACACACACGCGCGCACGCACAACAAAAAAACAAAAAAACTACTGTCATGCCTATAGCCTGACCTGACCTGGCCCAGCCTAGCCCCGAAGACGATGGGCTAAAATCTAGTTGGGGACTCCTAGCCTTACCAACCTCACCTCCCTGAAGCCAAAGCCGAGGAAGTCGATTTTCTTCTTTGGAAGAAACGCATCTTTAAGGAAGGACCATGACAACTCATCCGACAGACGGCATGTGGTATTTCGAGCGATGGGGCTTTAAGGCTTTGCCCTCAATCCCAAAACCCTTGACCTTTTCGGGTTTCGGGTGCTGGTGGCTTTAACTGTTTTTGTTAGTTTCGTTTCACAGTCTCCAAGGACCATTTTAAGGCCCAATGCCTTCGGGACTTCGTGGGTGGAGGGCTCTGAAGCTTTTTTCCTAAACCCTAAAACCTCTAAGACCTCTTTCTTTGCCTTTGGTGCCCCTCTCCTTTTGGCATCGCTTGTAGACCTTTGTCCATAACTACTTGAAAAGTGCGGCTCGGGCTGAGCATCTTGGACAGTCATTCCACCCATACCCCAAATCCGATCCAGCAGCCACTGCCAGGAAGCTGCATAGCTCATGCTAGCACCCCCAAAACGTGCCTTGTCGTCGCAGGGCCGCAGCTTCTGTCAGACCTTCCAGGTCCCACAGTGGACACATGAACAGGATACCTATCGCCTAGTGGTCTCGATTCCTGCGGACGGGGAGGCCCTGGCCTGATACTGGCGACATCCTCGCTGATGCCGGGGCAGGTCCCACCAATAAACCGCAGAGGGTCCTCCCAAAACTCTGGCTGAGGCACGCAACTCCCTGCCCACCGGGAGCAGACGCAAGCGGAAATTCCCCAGAGCTGCGCCTCGGAGGCAGGCCGTGGCCTGAGCCAGAGCTGGGCTCAGCAAGCGAACCCCTCGTGGCCTCGAGGCCACAAGAACCGAGCCCACGGCGGAGTCTTGGGCGCCTCCTGGCTTTCCGGCTGGCCGCACGGTTATTTTGACAATACATGACCGACCCATGCAGCGCGTGTGAGTCTGTGTGTGTGTGTGCATGTTCACGTTTGTACATATCCCCTGGCGGATAAGGACAAAAACACTACAAGATTCGTAGGTTTCTTGATTTCCGAGGCTGTCGATCTCGGAGATAGGATCGACACTTAGGGTGCACACGAACTTGGCCCCATCCTATCTCAAAGCACTGAACCACAAAGCCGTGTAAACGTCGGTTGGCTTGTGAAAGCTCCATTGCACAGTCGTGTCTCTCCCTCGACTCAGGATTGCAACTACCGGTGCAGCCAGCCTGAAACCCGGAAAGCTGCCACCAAGTCTTGAAAACAAGCCCCTGAGTCCCTGAATCCTCGCAGGCCACCAGATGCCACAAGATGTAAATCCTTCACTCTGAGCAGATTAACGAAGGAACAACGTGAAGCGAAAGCAGCCTGCAAGCAGACATACAAGCGGGCCCCCAACCTTTGCGATTTCTCAACTGCTTCGGGGTCGGGCAGATCAAGCAGGATCCAGTCAAAGCATCCCAAAGGCTGCAACCGTCCCTCAGCTCGTCCCCTCTTTGCCTCCGCCGCTGCTGCCTGCAACGCCTCTTCAGCCTTCCTTGAAGGACAGGGAAGACGGAAAACACTGGCCTCTTTTATCCTCACATGCTCAAGGATGGGGCTGCAGAGATGCTGACGGCTTTTGGCATGTAAGCGGAACTCACCAGATTCAGCCCGTTTGTGCCCACAAACAAAAATTGTGAGATCTTGTGACGACTTCATGGGAAACGATGCACCTCCGGCGCAGCTTCTGCTTCTGCTTCTTGGAAAGGCGCCTTCAAAAACAACACCAAATTCAAGAGCAGAAACTGACAGGGAACAGAGTCTAACTTGAGTAACGCTGATGCTGCTGAAAGGGCACCTTGGCTCTTCCTGTGGAGGGTTCACCAGCAGTGCAGCAGCCGAGTACTCCGAGCACCTAAGCAGGACATGGTGGCATCATGGCTTCCTGTCCGAAAAAACGACTCGGCATCGCGAACAGCATCGCCACGAACAACATTGGGTGCTTTCCGCACAGAGATCACCACTGCAGGATCAATCCTTGCAGTCCGATTGCTTGCCTGTTTAGTTTTCCGGCAAATTGCCACATCGGAAGCTGGTGACACGGTATCTCCGAACTTCAACATGGACACTCGTAAATCAGCCCTTTCTGCAGAGACATGCGGGGTCTTGTGGAGAAACGACGAGCTGGACTCTAAGTATGTCACGCGATGGCCAGTTCCTCCGCAAACTGCTGGTGCAGCCAAAGGCAGGGCGAAGCAAGCAGCACCTGGGCACTCATATCTAGCTATGGTATCCGCAGCTCTTCTCCTCCAATCCTGTAACATGGAAGAGAGTTCCGCTCCAGGTCTCCGATCTGGCCCTCTCGTCTCGTGAAACCAGAGAACCTCAAACCTGCCTGCGCATGCCGCAAGCTCACCAAAAAAAACAAAACTCGGAGCTGAGATCAATCTTCAACCCCCTGGCTCTTCCCCCAGCCTCACTGCTCGTCAACTCGGCCGCTTCTGCAGCAAAGCGCAGGGACGAGGTCGAAACCTGGCGGGTCAGCTGACGAGCCAGGAAGCTGCAGGCAAGGGAGGCTCAGTCCCCAAGCTGAGCCCCAAGCCGCAGCCACAAGCTCCAATGGCGATGCCGCCGCCGCGGCCGTAAGCCCAAGATCCTGGCAAAGAGGGCTGCTCAGGTCCGTCAAGTCCCAGCAATACTGGCAACAGCAGCAAGAGGACAAACGGGCATTGTCACGAAATCTCTGACCTATCCGGAAGTTCATTTGCAGGCCCCAGGCTGGAAGGCTAAGAATCGATCTGTGTATGGCCTCGGGGCCCACATCGCTCAGCAAAGTCGCCAGGCTTCGGGGTGCCACATCCTCTTCACCTGGCCACGCAAACCCCAGAACTGGCATCTTAAGACAAGGCAACCTGAAAGCGCCGCTAAATCACCTAGAACATCCAGAGTGCAGACAAGGGTTTCACGCTCGCTGACTCTTCAGCAAAACAAAGCTGTCTTCTCCGCCATCCAGCATGCACTGCAGAGTGTCTAGTTTCTAGTTCTCTCGCGTCTCGCGGAACCGTTTGGGTGATGCCCCTCTGCACCAGTATTGTGCCGGGACTAAACCCAACAGAAACTAAAGTGCAGAGGTTGCGATTGCTCTTCTGTCACTTCGACCTGGTGACCAGTCTGCTAGCAGCAGCTGACATAGCTTGGCTGCTTTTGGGGTCCTTTAGAAACTGGTAGCTTTCGCCGGGTCTGAGGTTCTGCTGCCAAAATCACTAGCGATCAGAAGATTGGCACAATTGGGCCGAAACCTTTGGACTCAGATGGACGGGGACACACTGGTCGTGCCCGTCTGGTCAAGTACTACATGGCACAGGGCTCTTACCTCGACAATCCTCGACACGACTGACTCTGAAAAGATGTCATACAGAACCTTCATGAAAGGCTTCCAAATCTTCTCCAGAACTGGCACCGTACGGTCGTACCACCCAACTGTCAGACAGATGAGAGGTGAGGCAGGTCGAGTTGAGCCCCGCTACATAGCTCGAAAGGATTGCCTGAGAAGTCTTTTTCTTGACAACCCTACCCTCTAGATTGTGCACAAGTCATCCAGCGCTGGATTGCACTCCAGCTCATCGTTCTGCGACCTGTGTAGAAATGCCCGCGCCGCGCTTCGACAAGACCAAGGTGAAGCACCGCTACACAAAACATTGGCTTTCATCAGAATACGACCACGGCAAGGTCAAGAACAGTCCTTCACAGCATTCTAACCTTTCGTGATAACCAAGGTGCAAAACCGCAAGCTTCAGCATCAGGCTCAAGCTGAAAGGCTTTCATGTTCCTTTCATAGGCTGGGCAATCGCACACCCTGTGGTCGGATGCTTCCCACAAAGTGTCCTGCCTCACCGTCCTCACCGGTATGTATGTGCGACGGCAGCCTGGAAGCAAAATGAAGCAGACAGATTAGGTCTGGAAGCACAGGCAGGCAAACCTGCGGAAATCGTGATCGCGAGGCTGCAAACAAGTGCAAGCCCGGCTCCCCCCAGTCCCAAACTCTCCGTGGCCTCGGACCGAAAGATGTCCTTCATCAGGCCTCCCTCGGGCTGCTCCTCCTTGCAGGATCCGATGGCTTGTGCAAGCAGCGAGGCGTCTCTGGAGATGTCACCAGTGGCGAGCCAGAAGCACTGGCAGCGTAGGACAACACTCCGACATCAAAATCACATGTGCCTGTCCACAACATGAAGACGAATCTCGCTCTGCTTCCGACGGTAACGGAGGAGGCTGAAGTTGAAGCATTCCAAGTCCAAGTGTATAGCATACCGGTGGGAAGGTTCCAACGCTTGGTTGGAAGTTGCGACATGAAGCAGTTGAGTCAGAAACATCAATATAGTCCGCTGAGAGTGTCGGGGTGAGGCAAACGGTAGACCGAAGGACCCCAAAGCGATCAACCCACCACAACAGTTGGGCACACTCACCCTCTTGGGTAAAGAAAACCACTGTCAACCCCCAGCCGGACCGGCGTCACGATCTTCTGGAAGAAGGCGGCCACGCTGCGAAAGATATCTAGGATGGCCTCGGCCTGCAAGAGATCTGTCACAGTACACAGTCACAGTACAGGAGACAGATTAATGGGTTTGGGATTCGCCTGGGTTCGAAAACGAGCTCACTCTGCAGCCTCATTCTTCTCGATTTGTGCAGGCTTCTGAGGCAGGGCACTCATGCTGGATACATGATGGCGGGAACTGGTCGCAGGGACGTTCTGAAGCGCATGTGATGTCCCGGATATTTCAAGGTGACCATAACACAGCAAAGACTCATACATTGCACATCAACGCAGCCTCAACTCCAAGAACCAAAAGCGCAAAGATGCCCAAAGCCTGAAACCGTCAACCGGGAGTGTCCAGACGCCTCTGCAGCCTCGCCAGCCCGCTGCAGGCCGCCTGAAGCTCGGGCCGCTTCACTAGAACAGGGAACACTTTCTCGCTGAGTGAAGCTACTTGGACCGACGAGGGAGCTCTCTTCTCATGCACATGGGTCTGACCACCAACCCATGGCTGCGAAGGGCTGAACGCAGCAAAGTGATGTCACGTGTCCATTTGGGAAGCCCGAGCCCAAACCGAGAATCTGCTCCGGGGCCAAACGCTCGCGGAATTGGACGCTGCTCACGCAGCCTCCAGGGACAAGCACGGCTAGCTTCGAGCTTTAAAGCTCAAGGCCATGCAAATCCATGCAATGCATTGAATCACTCTGAAGATACGTCCGGCACGATAGAGATGTCGCTGCTGAAAGCTGACCATAAGCGACCGATGCCGCACTACTTGGCAAGCTGTCGCTAGATGCTCGATGCCCTCCAACAAGGCATACTTCGGGCGGATGTCCTCCAAAATGCGCTAAGCGAATCTAGCTCCTCTCTACATCCATCCGCTGCTCTGAGTGGGGAAGAGCGGCCGTGGCGATTGAATCTACAGTAGGCAGCCATCCCCGATCTCCACGGCCCACCTAGCCCGCAGCGTCGCCGCTGGTGAAGGTGTTTTGGCTCCGGGCACGAGCTCCTTCTAAGGAACCGTCTTCTTGGACATGGCCGACAGGTGCTTCAGTATACACCGCGGGTTCTTATCAAAAGAACTGTGCGGCATGTTGTGCTGCCTGCTCAGAATTGCATCGTGCATAGCGCAGGCGCAAACTCCGACACTCACTAAAACTGGGACAGGCAAAAAATGGGCTCTGCACACGCGCTGCCAGCTGTGCGGCCAGGACTGTGAAACCCTCTGCCCTCCTTGGTGAGCTGGACGAACCTGGTCTTGCAGACACGGCGGAAAGTGGGCAGCTCGTACACTCACCCCTTGCAGTTGTCATGTCGCTGGGATACTGCACTAGCTGCACACTAGCATCATCTTCAGAACAGGCGAGCAGCAGAATTCCGAACCCAAAACGTACTTTGTGAGACTGTGCGAACTATCTCCAATTTGTTCAGCTCGCGATCTCTAACTCTATATTGCTGACAGCACCCAACAAACCGAACTCTAGACACCAGCAGGCTCTAATCTAATTTAGGCAAGGAGCGAAGATGCACAACCTTCGCCTGGCAAACACAACAAAAATCGAATGCGTTGTGGTTCCTGTCAGATGGAGCCGCGTGGAGTCGCAGGTGGAAATCGACAGACACCGAATCTATGCTCGAACATGAATGAGGTTGCCCAAACAAGCTCTCAATCATGCTTCAACGTTCCTTCGCACCTTCGCGCCCATCCAGGTCGATCGCTGTGGATGAGGCACTATGTGCCAAGGAGAACACTGAGAGCCATGCCAGCACTCCTTGGGAGAGTTTAGACGGGTTTAGCAGCTTGAAGTTGATGCAGAAGCAGAGGCGCTCAAGAACTGCGATACTGCGTCACCTCGACAACGACAGCCCAACAGACCACACCGGGACAGTGAAGTCTGTAGTCCAAGGGACGCCACATCTTCGGGGGAAGGTTCAGTTTGCGGTTAACGTCATTCTGAGCCAGACGGCGGCAGGCCGCCTCATACCATCTCCCAACAGGACGATCGCCAGTCGATCCGGCATGCGAAGATAATCCCTCGAGGGGCCACAACCCTCATGCAGAAAGCACTAGGCAAGCCTCCAGATGTCATCGCCTGATGCGTCTCTGAGAAGAGACGCCTCAGGAGCGAGCGACCTGAAAAGTTCGGGTGTCTCGGAGCAGGTGCATGCCCAAAATGGTCTTCAATGAGATTACCCCCACCGCCACCACACTGCTGGTGCTCTCTCGGAATGTGATACGAACATCCACACCGGCCAGGTCTCAATCGGGTTCAAAGCTTTTTTCTTAAAATGCGCCCAAACTTTATTGGACTTCGACGAAATCGAAAACCAAGGACCGATCTCCTCGAGTACAAACTATGACAGCCCCAGAAAACAGAGCCATGAACCCTTTGAAAGGTACCGCACTGAGTGCGCTGAAAGAGCACTCAAGTTCCTGAAAAGCCTGCGGTCCAAGCCCAGCCGTGCCATGGTCTGCCGGCGCTGCGCCGGCGGCATCGACGCCCAAACCTACGCTGACGAAGCGGAGCGGAGCGACAGCGGCCCGGCAGCGGCCCGAGCGAAGCGGCCCCGCCCTGCCCCCGCCCTGCCCTGTTCCGGCCTCTGCCAGTGGCAGGCTCGGCTCTGCCTCCAGCGCTGCTCGCTCCAACTCTCGAGAGCTTTCACATTTCACCGGGCCTGCATGCGCGAGGCGTAGGCTTGCAGGAGAAGCACCTTCCAGCAAGACTCTCTGCAGGCATGTCGAGCAGTCATGTCCAGGCAGCCCGGGCGCTTCCAGGCGAGAGCCCAGGTGCGCGCTGAGCGGCGCATGTGTGGCCCACTGCCGCAGCCACGGTGCCTCCGTCAAGCCGACTCTCAGCTCTGCCTTGAGTCCGCAAAAACCTTCGGCCTCGGGCCATCCGCTGGCACCCATCTTGGGCACAAGCTCCTCCTTCTCTCGCAGGAACCTTCGGCGAAGCTCATGGAATGTGCTTTCTCGGCCATGCCAGAAGCCAAAACCTTGCTTGGGTCTCTGCCTGCCCCTGGCCCTTCCAGACAGCACCCAGCCTCCCAAGGGAGACATCGTCCAGCAAGGAGAAGAAAGCCTCCGACGGACGGAAGGGGTTCGCCGACTGGAGGGGCCCGAACCCGAGGGACCCTGCAGAACAGATCAGAGAAAAGCGACTGGCAAGCGAAAGCTGACGAAGCTTGTGGATCGTTTGCCGAAGCACTTCCTGTCTGCAGATGCAGCCTTATCAAAACCAAAAAATCGAGACCACGAGCCGAGCCAACTTCGAGGAGTCGTTCCTTCGAAGTTCGATGCTTGTCCCCCAGCCTCACAGTCTGTGACGGTGGCGGGTGCAGGCATGATGACGCCCCAGTCAAAGGCCTGAAGATGTCCAGGTCGCGAGGTTGCAGAGCTTTTTTTTTTTAACACAACAACCGGCGTTTACACGGCCCCGGCCATGGATGCACAGCAGCATCCCCGAAAGGCAACGCGCAGCCCCGCCAGCAGCGCCGCAGAGGCGGCGCCTCTCAGCGCGCGCGCGCGGCACGGTGCCGGCGGATGTGAAAGCCACGGCTCGCTCCCAAACACAGCTCAGCAACACACGAAAGTCCGCCGTCGCCGGTGGCGCAAGAATCTCCTTGCAGTGGCAAAAACCAAAAAAAAACAACTAAGTGGCGGCAGGACCCTCAGCTGCTCAGCTCCGAGCGCCATCTGGCAACCTGGCCGAAGGCACGCTTTGGGCAGGGGCGCAGAGTTGCCCGTCGAAGGCTGCGTGCACATAAAGTTTGACCCAACCCCTCCCAAATTCAATGTGCAGCCATGACATCCGACACCACATGTGACGCATTGGGTCTAGCAGTGCACCTGTGGGGGCGTCGGTAATGGACGTTCGGATCTCGAGGAACTTGTGCCTGATTGCTGCAGTCTTTTAGTGCCTGCCCTCACAGTCTTGGTCGGACTGGGCATCCACTTCGGGATGAGGCGAAGGTCCGCGCAGTCAGCGTCTGAAATTTCATGAATTTGCGAGAGTCCAACATTTAACGAAGTTCCTCCAGCAGCACATCCAGGCTGTCCCAAGCTGCCCCACCTCGTTGCGTCGTACGGTCCCGGAGGCACTAGCCTTGGACACACGGCCTTCGAAACAGGGATCATAAACATTGAGCTGACTTCACATTCAATTCAGAGCGATAGGGCTCTTGACCGCAAGAGCTGGGCCTAGAGAAGTAATTATCTGCAAACCGTGGCTTCAAGACTGGAAGTGCTGGCTCTTGCAGTGAGCAGCGAATTCATACAAGCCGCGACATTGCAACGCTGCAAAATATCGAGCTTGAAGACATCAAAAGGTCCAACGTGAATAGACCTTACAGCGCGAGCAGCCAGTAGCAGCGTACACAAAAGACTCGTAAACGATGCAGCAGCGTGACTGATGCTGGGACCGGAAATGCAAACACGATCTATTCAAGCATGATTTTTTTGACATACGATCCCACGGCAAATTGTTTGTGCAGAAGCATCTTTTAATCGACGCGGACTCCAAGTCGATACGTGACCCATGCTCATTCGTTCCTAACGTGGTGCTTCTGATTCTGTTGTCATGATGAAGCGAAACCACGGCTCTCAGTAATCAAAACACAGCACATGATGAACGAACCAGCTTGGCACTCGTCTCTCTTGCACTCTTTCCATTACAATCAAGGGTCATTCCGATCTCTTCGTGCTAGAATACACTGATTGAACATTAAAGCAAATGGTACCGAAGTCCACGCACCTTCGCGCAGGCACCTCTCACAAACCCTATCCATGCATGCTCTGGTCAAGCCTGCGGGGGGCACCGGCTTCGGTGCCACCTCAGGATCTCCGAAGTGCAAAGTCCAGTCACCTTCAGTTCAAGAGGACAAGAGCCAGCCTTGAAGTGCCCCTCCCACCGCGGCTGCCATCCTTTTGAAAAGGGCTTCGGGAGAAAATCGCAGGCAACTACTACACTACTGCACTGTCTGGGAGCGGCTTCCTCGTTGATTCGCAAGCGGAGGTCTTCTGCAGACTTGGTGCCACTGGCACAAGTGGTATTGAGACGGAAACAAGATTGATTCACAATCCCCCTCTGCTCAGTCATAGCGAAGTCTTGAGATCGTTAGACCACCGCTTTGTCACACCAACTTCAATGCAAACTCACCACTTCGCCCTGGAGAAATGGAAGGGTTAAATTGGTATCCCGAAGAGAGGAAAGAACACACAACAGCCGGGGTCCTCGAAGCCGGCACATCTTGAGCACTGTGCGGACCCACCCTGGGGCTGGTGTACGTCTTACTGGCATCCAAAGGAAAAATGCACAGGGCTGACAAAGCACAGGAGGGTTTTCTGTGGCTCCCTGGAAGAGGGGTGAGGGCAAGGTAAGGGCTGCCCTCAAAGAGTGCTGGGTTTGAGGTTGAAGAAAGCAGGGCTCCGTGTGGACACTTTGGACGGGTGGTTGAATGGGATACATTTGCATCGCAGTTCATGTGACAACATCTGCCTGGAGAGGACCTATCCGGCGCTCGGCAATCAATTGTCCTGCTTCCTAAACTTGCATTCTTTAACCCATTGCCGTAGTAATGGGTTAAAGTAGTGGGTTACACTATATATATGCCGACTAATCGCTTACTCCGGCAAGTGGAGGCTTAGGGTAAGGTTCAGGATTTCGCGTTCGCTTTTGGAATTAGCGACCAAGAGTATGTAACAGTATGTAGTCTGTTATTTCTCCTGAAACCTCAAGAGTTTCCGAGTAGAACCCACAGCCCACCAGGCCTGCATCGTGGCAGGTGAGCACAGAGAGTCGGTCCTCCACCTTCGCACAGCTAGCATAAGCGAACCCACAAGCCTTCTCCGGATTTGCGGATTAGTGGAGGCCGCGGCTAGTGTTTGGGATTTGGGCTTTAGGGTTTCAAAGTTAGGCGGTAAAACAGAACAACCATGCAAGTGCTGGGTTGCACTGGGCTCCGGTACCGAGAGCTCCGAGAACCAGGCAAAGACCTGTGCAACATAGCAGCTTGTGGGAGCTTGCCAGTGTTCCGGAGCCAAGGACTCTCCCTGGTCATTCCTTGAAGGCTGCAGGGACAGAGTGGTCTTGTGTCACAACACAACAGTCAAGGCAAACAACCACGAACCAGGCCTCAGCTCTAGCTCTAGCTTTACCGTCCCCAAGTAGCAAGTGCATGGTGTCCCTGGGCGGGTTCAGGGAAATCGGCGGCATTCTTCAAAGGGCTTCTTCAGAACACCAAAGGGCCAGCCTGCAGCCGCTTTAGCCTTCTTGAAACTTTCACGTCTCAGCTGCGCTCTGAGACTCTGAAAGGCCCGTGGCGCGAGCGGAGTTCGCGCCTCCGCACGCAGCTTCGAGGCTGGAGCTCGTCGAGGCCTGCGCTGCTCACGCGCTATTGCTACTGTAGCGCACCGACCGCTGTGCAGCCTTGAAGAGGGCAGACGAAGGTGATCTGAGAGAGCCCCGCCTAGGTCGACTGAAGAACAGCACATGGTCAGCCAGCACATTGAGCAGCTGCCTGCACCAAGGCATTGCAGAAACATCTTGTTTGACCATCAAGGCTTACAAACAAAGTCCTCGATGTCTCAGCCAAGACCGTGGTCAGAGCAAACTTCAGCAAACATGGGAACCCTTGCCCCGAGCAGCTCCCCTTCCTTTCGACACGGAGGTCTAAAGTAGTACCGCGCCGAGCAGACGGGGCCGAAGGCGGGGGCGGGCCGGGGGGGGGGCCGGCGGGCCGAAGGGCCTGAAGTTGGCTTCGGCTTTCAGCTTCGCCGCAAGCTCCAGTTGCTCCTCGCTCAGATCCTCGGCTCCCAGGCTCCCCCCGAGGGGGGCGGATGCTTCAACTGGCTTCATTCCAGGGACGAACTTCTCCTTTCCATGCAGACAGCCCTTCGGACGGGCGAAATTTTGCTGAGGCCGGGTCGTACTGAATGAGAAAATCGTCGATATCCATCGGCAACGAACAGGCCACATGGCATACACCCGGGTGGTGAGGGCTGGAGTGTCGGACTAAGTGAGTATGTGGAGGTGCCTTCGGATCCACAGCTTGTCCGGGTCCGCCCAATTGGAAACAGCTGAGCCTGCGCATGCGGCAGTGACTTTAGAGGCACAGGTTTAGCGAGCAGGCATACTTCAGGCTGGCTGTTCAACCCTTACCTCCCGAGCCAAGCCTTTGTCTCTACTGCAGGTCAAATTAAAAGCAAACAGGGCCTGGAAGCTATCGAGAAGTCTTGGCTACCGACTCTCAAAGCGTTGCCAGGAATTGTATAGTGATTTGTATGACCCCTCTGGCAATCCTGTCACCGTCAAGCAATGCAAGACCCTTTGCGTTTTGATCGAATGTCCGCCACGTCATCCGCACCCACTCACCTGCACTCTGTGTCACGAGCACAGACCTTCTGGAAAAAGGACTGCCATGGCATTCCGTTGTTTCGCTCAGCGCTGGAACAGGTATTCGCCTGATTAGTCTCCGTGAGAACGCAGTGTATGCGGCACTAGGTACCAATACCACCCTGGAAGGATTGTCACAATGACAGCACCCGCCAAACAGACTTTTGAGACCACATAGTGGCCATACCAGCCCGAAGTCATGTGGAGAGCAAGGGATTCGAATGCTTTGTCCCAGGCCAAGCCGACGACAATGCCGAAAGCATTGGCAATGCTGTGCGGAACCACAGTGGACTCTCCATCCCCTGAAGGGATGCTGTAGGCAAATCCAGTCACGACAAATGCTAGCCAGGTCAGCGGGAAGGCCACCACGATGTATGTGTCCATGATGGAACAATGCGGCCTGACTGTCAATGCAGCCCCGCGGACGAGACACCAGGCAAGTGCAGAAGAACATGACTCGCGGAGAAGCTCTGCGTCAGGAAGGAAACGAGCCGGGATCCAGGCGGAGCTTGCAGCCACCACAGGGACAAAGGAGCCGAAAACCACGCTCCAGCCCAGGACTTTGCCAGTGAGCACCCAGTCCCAATCTTTCGGCTTCTGCAGGAGGCCCTCCACAGAATGCAAGTATCCCGTGTGAAACAGGAGAATGGTCTGCATCACCAAGAAACCCATCACCAGAGCCGCACCCTCAGTAAATATCTCACTTGCGAAATCGAGCCAAGGGCATTCTCTGCGTACTTTCCAGGCCGCGCAGCTGAGATCACTGCCGTCATCTTCCGGGAACATTTCTCCATGTGGAGATTCGCAAATTGCGTTTGCATTTGGCAAAGCCACTTCCACTTTCTGTCGCGGATCCGCAGGGTCGGACACTGGAATGGTGAAGGCCACCTCCGATTCGGAATCCGAAGAGTCCATGAATCGAGATTCAAGCTCGCGACTCGTTGCATCGGGAAATCTATGCCACTCATCATCGCCTGCTTGGTACTCCCAGTACACTTCCGTGCTCCCAACACACTGTGCACGCAACCGCTCACCGAGAAACAGCATACCTCTCAAAAGGATCGCTGTCCAGGGTAGCACCTTAGGCGGTACTGCAAATCACAAGCTATCATGCCAAGGCACAACGAAACTAAGGCACGAAACTACGGCGGCACATCGAAAGAAGAAACACCGCCAGAAGTGAGCCCAGGCACGAGAAAGCATTTCCATCCATCTTCCCTCACGCTCCACTGCAGACTGCCGATGGCTTGTATCAGAGTGAAGCCAGTCATATGGCTCGACAGCTGGCCAAGCGCCGAATAATTATGCTCCTTCTCCCTGAATCTGTAAATAATCCAGTTGGATCCGAGGAAGCATAGGATGGACAATATGCCATATATCTTGGCCTGCACGATTGGACCTGCCTTTTGGTTTAATCCAGGGTACTTTCCCATCCACAACTGCTCAATTAACACACCATGGGCAGCCACCGTAACGGTATTCGTGGCAAAAATGGAAACGGTGGTGCACGTCAGCTCGTACACTGCGTTTTGCATGTGTTTATTCTCCGAATGTGCGAAGTACAGCAGGGCCATCATTGTCAACACGAAGAAAAACATTACCAAGCTCAAGATCCACTCACGCCCGACAATGCCTTTGCCATGCTCCATCTCCTGCAACTTTTCCTCAAGTTTCGCCAACTCATAATCGACATGCGATTCATTCATGCAGCTTTCCACAAAATCTTCGCAACAGTTGCCGAAGTTGTTGCATTGAGACGTGCACTGACATGGATTGCCCGGGCAGTAACCATGACAGCCGCCAAACAGATCGCACGATGCTTGCGAACGATTGAGATCTTTCAAGCGGTCACACAAGCCTTCTCTTTTCTGAGTTGTTGCCTCTTTTGTCGGCGTCAATACAACGAACACAAACCATCCCAAGATCAGAAGTCCAAGAGAAAGTCCAGCACCGAGTTTGGAATACAAGCCGCGCATGCCATCAAGAGTGGGCGCTTGTGGGTTTCATGTAACAGAGAGCATCTAGGTCCCAGTACACCCACAAACACACACACACACTGACTGACATAGGCTCTGCTTTGAAGGAGAGCTGCGTTACTGCGTGGAATGATGTCTTCTGAATCTGCTCTGACCCACCGGCTTGGACGCACATGTGCAGTTGTTACAACAGTCATAACGAGAACAAGGAGGACAAACGTCCAATCCCGTGAAATTCATCAAAACGATCACATAGGCATATCTCATCATATCTCATCTTGAATGCCCTCAAAAGATTGCCTGGACAAGGATTCCGTGCCAAAACTCAAAACTCAACGCGTACTTCCTGTATCAGCTCCCTTGATCAACAACTCGCTCAACAAACTCGCAAACCCGCGGTTGGATCCCCAGAACAGCTCGGATCAGAACAACGGCTATGTCAGGTTCTGGACTGTCAACCAAAACCTAAGCCTTCGCGCCGATTTGACAACTGTATTTTATCGTACAGACAGGAACCGAAGCCTGCGCGGCATTTTTTTAAGTTTGGAAGCACTTACACAAGCACCCGGAAACGGTCAGACCTTGTGTCCTAGATCCTGGCCAATCTTCCGGAGTTGGCGGAGTTTGTGACACTGACGCAATCCATGCTTCCACGAAGCTGTTTGGGTTGTTTCGCCAATCGGCACGAGGCACACGACTGAACTCACAACAACGTGGACAGAGCTTTATCAAGACTGGCTTCCAAAACTCCTGATGCTTTAAATTCTGTGACAAAGCTCGGTGCGAGGCGATGCCAGAAAGTCAAAGCTGCTTGGCAAGTGATGCCTAGCCAAGATCCCTCCGGGTTGGAAGAGTGGGTGTTTCTGAGAGGACACGATCCCAGTCGACAACCTTCACATGCGCAAGCAGCATGGAGCGATGCCCCAGGTTTGCAGAAAACATTTCGACAAAAATGAAAAACTCACAACTAGCATCCCAACTGTGGCTGTAGAGCTGGCCCGGTCGCACAGGATGCGGGCTAAGGTATAAACTCTGCCGCCGCTGACCTCGCAGCACGAGCAACATGCCGATAATCAATTGCAAGATAAGCAGATGACGTATGTCAGCCGCGACGGGAGCAAGCGATAGCGTGGGCACTCCCCACAGCTCGCCCTGGGTCTCCAGCCAGTGGCGGCCAGCCCACTCACTGGAGCAGCATCGGAGGGCTAGCCACTGTCGGTCGATCACCCGCGGGGGGTGGTCGATCATCCGGCTTGGTCAAGCGGCTGCCTATCGGGGACGTGACTTGAGGTACTGGCGGCTCCGAGTGAATGTGTAAGGCCCCAGGGGCTCGCTTCTAACTGCAGTCCCCTGACGGTCGTCGGTGGGGCCACAGGCCCTCCGTGAGGGCGCCGGCCGACTGGCCATTGTCCTGGCACTTCGGACTGCAAAGGATGCGGCCTGCCCACCTGAGCCACCAGGCGCTCGCAGGGTAAGCTGGACAGGTCCCGAAGGCCTCGCCGGCACCAACACAGCAGGTGCAGTCGACCCATCGGTGGACTCGGCTCGCCGCTGGGGAGACCTCCTGGACGAGGGAGACGCCCCCGACATAGAGAAACCTTCGGGAGCGGCTGCGCCCGAGGCCTTGCTTCGCCGTCCTGTTCCTTCCCCAGGCAGGGGGTTTAACTTGCTTGCTGCGAATAGTCGCCTGCCCCCCCCCCGCTCCTTTGGCCGGCCTCCACCTTTTGAATGCTGAGCCAAAGCCGCGGCAGCAGCGGAAAAAGAATCAGTCACACTGCTAGCAGTACGCTCTCCGCGCAAACACGGTAGCATGGGCGCGAAAAGCGCGACGCAAAAATGGCATTGGAGCAGTTTTGGGCTGGACGTGGACCACCTCCGGTGCTGCCCCAATCTACTTGGTAGTCCTAGGGGCATGATTAAAGACTCTCCGGCTGCAGTTGAGCCCAGCACTGAATGCAAAATAGAGCAAACCAATTACCGTCAGCAAGGAGCTGGGGAACCATCTCCGACGCCAGAAGTATCGCCTCGTGGTGTGGGACTGCACCCACACTGTGCAACAAAAGAGCAGCAACACGGCACCAGGGAACGCCGAAGGCCTAGGGCCTGCGACGGTCTGGTGAACCTGTACATGATGGAGACCTCATCATCTGCTTCGTGGGCTACCAAGCCGGCCATGGGCCATTGCAGGCCGTGCAAGATGAGGCTGGCATGGTCCGCCCCAGCCTCGCTGCGACCGATTACGCGGCCACTGATAGCAAAACGCACCGTGAGTAGCGGTGGGTATATACCTGCCGCACGAGGGACCTCGTAACCATAGAGGCGGAAAGCCCGCAGGACTTCCTCATCCACCCACTGACAAGCCAGGTCATAGGGCGAAAGCCCGCGCAAACTGCCATGACGTGCCACTGAGTGAGGGCACGCTCGCGCATTAAGCAGGACATTCACCATGATCCGCTGGCCCCGGGCGACAGCCAGCAGCAAGGGGCTGTAACCCGTTGGGGGATCCAGTACCGCTGTCGCCTGCAAGAGAAGGGCGGAACAAGTGTGTGCGTTAGCAAGCACTGAATATGCAAGGGGCGTATGCCCCCGCATGTCAGGAGTGTTTACGCTGGCCCGAAGGACAAGCAATGCCGCTAGACAACCCGAAGGCAGATCGATGGCGTGCGTCACCATTGGTGCCCGATACGACGGATCATCGTGACTCGGCAGAAAGCGATGCACCGATAGACGGCCACGACGGACCAGGGCGGGGGAAGAACCGCAAAATGGTCCTCGAGTAGACACCGGAGCGTGTCATCCCATATTTCATCCTCCAGCGGAGGGATATTCGGATGCATGAATACCTCCAGTGCCGCCTGTTCATCGCCCCGATCGAGATAGAGATCCACAGTAATGACCCATCGCAGCGGTGATAGGTTTGGCATAACGCGGTGCACATAAATGGTGCTGGGGCAGAAGACCGCATCCATCACCTGCCTGGCCGAGTCTCTGAGCTCCAAAAACACCGAGGCTGTGCCAACGGCCAAGCCAACCTCGCGTAAAACTTCATCCGCCGAGATGGCAATAGGTGGCGAGGCATACGCCAGGACTGGCGTGGCCCAGAACCAATTATCCAAGCCTAAAAGCAATTCGTTGCACAGCTCGGAGGGGCTACTGCCCACGCGGACTCGAGCAAGTTCGCGTTGAGCCATGGCGCCGCTACCCCCCCTTCGGTCACAGAGCGGAAAAACAGGGAGTTAGTATTACTCACCGAGGCTAAAAAGCCTATCGAGCCCACGGCAGCAGCATCAACATAGAATCCAGCGGACCTTAATGCATAGGTAAGAAATAAAAAGACGCTCCAAGCGACTTCCTAGGCCTACGTAATCGAATCAGCCCTGAGACGCTGACCCAAAAGGAGGGAAGTAAGTATGGCTCCCCGCTGCTCGAAATGGAACGGACCTACCATTCCCAAAGAGAGAGCAAAAGCACGCATCCTGCAGCCGCACGCCTATGACTCTCTCTCTCTCAGTCGCGCAGAGCAAGTCCACAAGTGAGACTACTCGTCAGCAGCCCTTTCAGCTGATTAACGCAAAACTTCTAACTGAGCCCAGGATCTACGGTTTTGAGCTAGCGGCTGTAGGGTCCTCCAAAGGTCAGTATTACCAAAAAATCTGGAATGGGCAGCAGCCACCTCTCTTTCTGTAGGATGGTGATAGATATCGTGGTGTATTTGGTAGGGGCGGGGAATAGGGGAATTCGAGGAAAGTATTTGATAGCGTTGGTACGCTTGCGTCATGGTCAATTCGGCCCAGTGTGTGCGAGGGTGGCCAGGTCTTTTCCTATGGAGGCGTCTGTAGGCATGTGCTGTTTGGTAGGTGGAGATGTGTTCGATTGAATCTTCATGTCTGAGGATATGTCCGAGATAAGAGATCCGGGATGAAATGATATTCTGTGATGGAGATACAAGTTTGGGGGCGTACTCATAGGCAAGCTGGGATAAATATTCGTTGGAGCATTCTGCCTCCGATGGTTCCAAGACTTTATGATAAAAGGAACTTTTGATGTTGAAGATCTGTCCAAGGACCTTGTAGTGTAGCTTGTTCAGTTTAGTGAGGTCAGGTTGTAAATACATCTGCGATTCCGAGCCACACAGAAGGATGGCCAACTCGATCTGGGAATGAACTAGCAGCTTTTGCTTAATGGTTATGGAGGGGTGCTTAAAGAAGTCATGTAGACATTTGGCCGCGTGCGAGGCCTGCGCATATCGCTTTTTAGCGTCCGCTTTGGCGGCTGAGTTATGAGTTCGAACAGCTCCTAAGTAATCGGCGTGGGGTTTAGGATCTATGCGGAGTTCTTGGGGTAGCTGTGGGTTGCTTCTCGTGCAACAGAAGTCACATTGGCAAGGGTGGGTTGTGGTATCAGTTAGGTATACGGGCAAATCAGTGTTGATACAGAGAAGCTGGCACTTCTCGTGATTCAAGGACATGCCCCTTTTGTAAGAGTGGGCCTGTAATGTGTGAAGAAAACGGTGTAGGGACAGTCTCGTGCGAGATAATAAAACTGTATCGTCGGCATACTCTATATCTGTAAGGCGAAAATCGGTAGTAAGTACTGAAGGTCGGGGGCCATACTCTGCAACGTACGCTGTGTACGTGTCATGAAAAAGCATTGAAAGGGTAATGATAAACAAATACGGCGATAAGGGGCATCCCTGGCGGATGCCCTGGGCGAAGGCTTGCGGGCGGGACGTATAGCCCGCGTCCTTCACTCGAAAATGACAGTCTTCGTAGATTGACAGTACCGGATTAATGAATGTATCGGGGAGACCTACTCGCTGCAGTGCGTTGCGCAACGCTGGGTGGGAGACTGAGTCAAAAGCCTGTGACCAATCAAGGAACAGAGCATAGAAGGATTCCTGGTGTCTTTCATGTAATTCAAGCAATCGTCGAAGGACGAATAAAGGCGTAGAGGTGGATTTGCCGGTTCTAAAACCGAACTGAACCGGCGAGATACGGTCA